AGGGATTAGAAAATTTATTAATTTCTTTTTTACTTGAAAGTTTTAACTTAAAATATTTTCATGTATTTGCTCAATATGTTTTTCTGTATGGTTTTCATTCATATTTCAGTTTCTGAAGAAATTTTATGAAATTAGGATTCTTCATGTTGGGTCATAAAGAAGGAATAAAATTATTAAAGCTCACAATGTTCTTGTGGAGTTTGCAACAAATAAAGGAGAAGATTGTTGTCTAATGAAGGATTATGTTGATTTCTAACTCCTCAAACTGATTTTGAAATCAAATATAGGCTGATCCCTCTTTTTGACGAGATATGAATAAATATGATATAATTCTTAAAAAAGATGCACAATGCAAATATTCAAATTTTACACCATTTAAAAAGAAGAATAAAATATTACTAATTTATTCACTCAAAAACTGACTATTCTTGTTGCTATTATATTACACAATACATTGACTATATATATATATCATGAGAATTTCTCTGTAGTAATCTTATGTTATGTGGTCTTTAATGGTTGACTCTTACCAAAAGGTATTACTTTAGTTGTCATTTTTTTTAATGCCATGTCTGTTCAGGTTGTGACTATTATGGCCTACCACAGATTCCTTTTCATTATTATCTGTAAATTGCTTGTGAAAAATACTTGAATTCTTTCCTGTTGGTTCCTTCATTGTTTTAAATTCAATGTTGTTAACTTAGACTGAAGGTTACCCAAGGCTGGAGAGACTATTTAACATAACTGGAAGGAAAAGAGATGGATTCACACCTTTTACAAGAGCTTTAGTATGAAAGTAAACAATAGCTAAGTCCAGAATTTGAACTCTGCTCACCACTTCCATTTTCAATGCTGATAACCATTGCACTACCTACACATCCCTTCTTTTGATCTTCTTTGTCCATTTAAGATGTGGGCAAGCGTGGCTCACCACAACTTCTTTTTCTTTTTAGCTCTTAATAAAGTTTGTTTTTTGCTATCTCTCTTAATTCCTATTCTGCTAATCATTTACACAGGTTCATTAGGTAGGTTATTTGCTGCATTCCTTTGACTCTCTTGCCTTCAGTATGTCCTGTGAGTATCATATTTTCTAAGTCCTCTTTCCTCATTATGTACCTGAGAAATTTCTTTTTCTGATTCAAAGTATATACATCCTTTTTGTTTCCATTTTCCTTAAAACTTTGTGGTTGCCCACATGTTCAGTCCATGGTATTTTCAGCATCCTTCTGTAGAATCAGATTTCTGTTGTCTCAAGTCTCTTTATGTGATGAGATTGTCCATCATTCACTGTCAGATAGGGGGACTGATATTACATAACAGTTAAATATGCATTTATTTATTTCTAATGAAATCTTTCTGTTTCTTAATACTTTGCTTAGCTTTTGGAAGGAATACTTTCACTAGCCCAAGACATTTTTGAATTTTGGTGTGGAATTTTCCGTTCTCTGTTAAGACGCTTCTGAGATATTTAAATTTTTTTATTTACTTGATTTTGGTATCTTCACTTTGTAAGTTGCATGTTGGGCTGTTCATTTTTCTAACAATCATACATTCTGTCTTGTGTCCATAAAAATCACAAAATTCTATATGAGTTTATCTTTTCTGTGTGTTTCTATTACACGGGGATCCTTATATTTATTATAGAATTATCTCAGTAATTATTTACGCTATTTACATTGTTTAGACTATTGTCTTCATCTTTATTGTCATATTCATATTTTGGAGAAGACATGATAATCAGACGGGGTCAAATCAGGAGAATAGGGAAGGTGATCAATCAATTCAAAGACATGGTCATGCACAGTGGCCCACTTTTGCATTGTTGATAAAGCTGGAGCACCATCTCCTCATCTAGAAACCATATCATCATGAATGTTCCCTTTTTTCTACAGGTACTTGATGATGCCAAATTTTGTCTTTTTTCAAGGAAAGTCGCTGGAAAGAAACAATGCAGTCATTGATAAGAAGAGTTGAAATTAATGCATGCAAGATTTCACAACTCTAGCATCAGCCTATGAACTATTCAGCCCACCCTTGCAGTTTGAACATTATGCTGTGAAAATTTAGCTAATAACTCTGGTTCAGTTTACTGATTTATTGGTGAGCTTTCAAAGATAGACAAGTTTTTATGCATAAATTTTTAAAGATATGTGTATAACTGTGATGTATACTTCATTAATATATATATATATATTATGTATATATAGTGTATTTCGACAGTAATAATTGTCTCAAACATGTTTGTTTAAATACTATGGACAAGTTCTGTCTATCAATTTTTAATTTATTTTTTCAAATTTCTAAATTAGGTGTTTTGTGTTATCAATAAATTTATTTTTATTTTATATTATTTTCTTCCTGAATACTTTTGAATCTTGCTACATTTGTTTTCAATATATATATATATATATATATATATATATATTTTCTATTGTGAATAAAGAATGCTGAATACATCAGCCATAGAAACATATCTAATGAAGCTGAATATTTAAAGAATTTCCTCTTCTAATTTTCATCTTTTTTTGGAAACCTAAAGCTCTGAATGGAACATAAGTAGTTGAATTCTTTGAATTTTTGATGTTCAAATTCATTGTCTAGCCAAATTGAAAACAACTTTGGATTCTATTGAGTATTATTTTGAGTTTTTAAATATATCTTAAGCAACATAAATTATTCAATCATTTTAGTGCTTAAAAAAAAAAAAAAAAAAATTCAATCGTAATTTTATGTCCATCAAGAATATTTATCAGAATAAAAATGAGAATCTCTCTCTCTCTTTATACATACATATATATATATATATATATATATATATATATATATATATATATATATATATATAAAGTAAATAAATAAAAAGAGACAAGAGGAAAAAATATACTTAGCCAATGCATTTCATCCTCTGATGAACTTTATCAAGACAATATCATTGGTTTATCAAAGCTTATAAATTTCAGAATGTTCATGAGGTAGTTAAACAGTCATAACATGTAGATAACATAAAGTGTCATAATTCAATGTCTGGTAAAAAGTAAAGTGAGCAAGTAATATTCAGTAATTTAAATGTATATTGTTTCGATTGTGATTAGATTGTTATGGTATAAGATGCATGTATAAGAAATGCTGAAGTGATGGATTTAACCATTTTCTTTTGATTTTTCAACATAACTGTTGTTGAGTATGTTGGCTTGGGAAATTTAAAAGATACACAGATAATAATCAAGATGTATGAAAATAAATCAGTTTTGCTTGAAATAAAGAAAAAGTAGAAAACAATACATTTTATCTGTAGTTGAAAGCAGACAATTGCATTCAAAATATATTTGTTGAAGCCATATAACTGTGTTCGAAATATTTAGTTTCCAGCATTAAAATACCCCATATAGGTGTTGATATGCTGCTAAACGAAACAACCAGCCAACCATCCAAAAAGCACCCTAGCATCTAATTGCTATAGTACAACTTAACCAGTAAAAGAATGTACCTCAATTTTAGAGTCAATAAAATAGTTTTGACTATTGAGTGTAATACCACTGTGTTTCCTTAGGAATATGGTAAAAAGTATACTCCACTATTTGTTTATATATTTCTGCAAATAAGTATAAATATTTTTGCATCTTTACAAAGACTGATTCAGATACCTAATAAAATATGGATATCACCACCATTAATTTTGCACCAAATGAGGATCATCCTACTTGCAGGAATGCTTTTATTTGTCAAGTCCTTTCAGGATATGGTTATCCACAGCTTCCTGTTTTTTATTGCTTTAAGCAAATTTTGAGCCTTTATTAACCCTCTTCTACCATTTATTCATACTCATTAATTAAGGAACTACATCCACTCTTCAGGAGACTTGGTTGTAAAATTGGATTCATTTTCAGAAATTATACTGTCTGTATTTCTGAGATGAGGTATTATAACTATTTAAACTATTTATGTTGTTACATTGACTTACTAAAGGGAATTAACTGATACTGAGATTAAAAAAAAAAAAATTAGAAAAATCTATCCCCGTGAAGTAACTAATGATTTGGTTTGAAATTCCAATGTATATCACCTGAAGAAGGTTGGAGTATACAATGGCTGAAAAATTGTGAATATAGCAATAAAGAGTCCGAACGATGTAAATAGTGTAAATAGAAATTATACTATTTTGCATTTTTGTCTTTGTTTCTAAGGAGATTGTGCAAGTTTCTCAGTCTGACCAAGAACTGATTTTCCAGCCAAATTCTGATATATATATATATATGTGTGTGTGTAATTTCTATTTATCAAGTTGTTATTTACTTGCTTTCTGATATTCCTACCATGATTGCCATGTGATGCATGTTTTGTGCATTATTATCAACATCTGCATGAAGGTCATTTGCATGCATTTTTCATTGGCTGGAACAGGTAGAATTGCTGTCCGGTCATTTATTTGCTCATATATTTGGTGTATAGGTGTATGGTGGCTTAACTTATGTCTACATCAGAAGTGGATATGCAGTGCATCCCTACCGTGGGGCTCAGAAAACACAGGGGAAGTGGTAGAGCGATATATGGGATGTTCTACATGCAAGGTGGAAAAAATCAATATGGAAGACAGAAACGACCAGCCTAAACTTGAGTGTGTGCATAATTTATGGAAATATATTCATGAACTTCTCCACCTGGTTAGTTACAGGTGACATCGAGATTGAGTTGGTTTTCATTAATTCCTGTATCTTCTTCCCTTTTTTTTTCTCTCTCTCTCTAATTTTCTTTGCTTTTCTTCATCTATTCTGTTTATATCTCTCATTATTTTTTCTTTCTTTTTATAATTTTCTCCTTTTTTGTTTTACCTTTTTTATTCTTTCTTTATATTCAGCCACCTTCAGTTTTTCTTACTGTGATCATTCTCTTATATTTTTATCATTTTATACATTTCTCTCATTTTAGCTGCATCTTAAACTCCCTCTTTCACTTTCTGATGACTACGCCCACTCTCTCATTACTCTTCACTCTCCATTTCTATGTTTGTTCAGCAATACATCTATTCCAATAATTATCATTTTTCTTCTCTCTCCTTGCTTCTCTCAACATTTCCCTTACTTTCTCTCTATTGTTCTCAGTCTTCATCTTGGCAACTTCACTCTCTCCTTAGTTTTCTGCAGACTTTTCTCTCTAATGTTCTTCTGCATGATTTAAGTGATAACAATCGCTCTTCTCTTTCTCAGTGCAATGACACTTTTCAATTCATTTCCCTCGTATTTATTTAACTCACTTTTGCTTCATTATCTTTAGTTGCTCTTCTTTCTTTTCATCTGTAATTTGAAACTTTACTCTCTCTCTCTGTTTCATTTCATCTGTATCTCCGTGAAAACATTACTACTTTTTCCACCCTTCTGTAGTTATGAAGATATATCTTGTAGTCACAATTGTTCAAACACACACACTTATATATATATATATATATATATAAAATATGCTCAAATGTGACATTTTCTATATAACAGTAAAACTTTTAGACATTTTTTTTTTATGTTGGGTTATTCTGAAGATTTTTGAAAGAAGCTAAGTTTTCATTTGATCAATTTAGATCCAACAATTGTCTTTTATTGAGAATTTATTGAAATTCATGTGAATGTGACACTACATGTAGAGAAATTGATGATACCATGATTTAATGTGAAACATAAGAACAGGGTCAAGATGCAAGATTTTACTCTGCATGTCGTTGCAAATTCTACAAAAATTGTCCCCATTCTATTATTTTACAAGAATTTAACATATTTGTCTGTTTCATTGCAGTTCTTTAAATAAAAACAATTCTTTAAGCAAAATTAATGATGACCTTGGATCTTATTTTTAATTCGAATGGTCTCCCCCTGTTATCACAATTTTTTTTACAGTAAGCAAAATGAAAGCAACTCGCATGATATTTTGATATACAAGGGTAGATCAATAAGACCATGATCTGACATTATTAGCTGAATTTCAATCTGAAATTTTCACTGGGTAATGTGTTATTTATCTGATTAATGACCATGTGTTGAATTAAATGCACAAATGTTGGGTTATACTGAAAAATAAATAATAGTTGTATGAAATACATGCTTTTTAAGCATTAAGCTATGGACTTATTTTTGTAGCTATGTATATATGCAAGTGCAAGGGTCCATGGAAAAGAGAAATGTTATAGAAGATTACATTTGGAACCCACTGTAACTAAAAGAGTTACTTCATCCAAATACTTTTCAGAAAACAATAGACCCACTTTCAGTCCATACAGATGCACACAATAATCCACAGATATGTTACAAGAAAGAAAAATAACATTAAAACATGGAAGTGAACATCAAAATTGTTATTTATTGCTTAGAAAATCATGGAGAAAAATTAGTTAATAGCAAGGTCAAGTTTTTATTGGTTTTACAATAAAATTAGTGTTATGTTTTTACAATAAAACTAGTTTTAATCAACTAATATAAAAGTTTTCAATTAATCAATTAAACAAATCCAAATTGGTCAGAGTTCCTACATAAGATCAAATAAAATATTACATTTGAGTAGGCACAAATAATGTTACAATCCTTGCAATCATGTCGAAGCTATGCCAGAATGCTTATCAAGAAATGATTGCTCCTGGCTGGGCTCATGAGAGAGGAAGTCAGATGTCATCGAGGCCTGAAATGTTCTATTAAAATAAACATTACTGAGGAAGCATCCTTGTGCACAATATATGCTTATAAAACGAACATATGATAAACATATGAATTTCAGCTTGTAACATTCCAGTTTTGTTAGAAATTTTTCTTTCTTCTTTATGTACTGTGTTCCCTTAGGACATATGCAGTCATGCCTCTCCACAACTTCCTGTCCCTTGTAGCTCTTAATAAACTTTGTCTTTCTGTTATTTCTCATAATCCCTATTTTACCATCCATTTGCTCAATCTTATGAAGTATGTTATGCATTGTTTTCCTCTGACCCTCTTTCCCTCTATCTGTCTCCTGAGCACCAGATTTTCTAAGCCCTCTTTCCTCAGAAACCTCAAATGTCTCTTCCTGATGATAAATATATTTCCTTTTTGTTTCCATTTTCTCCAAAACTTTGTCATTTTTCACATGTTCAGTCCACAGTATTCTGTCTGTAGAACCACATTTCTATTGCTTTGACATATTTGGTGTATGGATATGAGATTTTATTTTTTGTACAAGGGTTGTTCACTGAATGAACCTGATGGCAGGCAGGACCAGAGGTTTGGTTCTTCATGGGGGAGGGATCAACAAAAAAAATTTGGAAAACAAGAGGGAGGTGGAATATTTGTATTTAGGCAGTAAAATTATAGGCCTTTTCAAAAGTGATAATAGTGCTAAATGTAGTAATTATCTTTGTCAAGACATTGTTTGAATAACAAATGTTCCAAATAATCCCTGAAGTTAAGCAATATCAAAACTGGTTGGTTGATCACTTGGAAATATCAGGTTCTGTAAGTTTGGATGAACAAGTGGTGTAATGGACAATGGCTCAGAATTGTTAATCAGAAAGCTGAGTTCCAATTCCAGTTCTGTTCATTATATTCACTTACACACAAATACCCTTGGGAGAGGTATGAATCCCCCTCTTTTCCCTGTCTCTGGGTTTAATTATGTTTTTCATTAGGTCCCATAAATGACATTTATTCCTACTGATTTCATTTGTATCTGTTAGTTTTGACAATCATGGATTTATGGATTAATTAGTAAGACCGACATCACTAAACCATTTTTATCTCAAAAATAAAATAAAAATTGTGTACAAAATATTTAGATTTTGGCATTAAATAACCCAGAGAGGTTGATAAGCTGTAAAAAAAAAATCAACCAATAAACAAGAGGTTTTATGCTAAAGAGTAGAATCTTGTGAGGCAATGCTTTTAAACATTCTACGAAGCTGATTATTGGTCACCTTGCAAAAAATGAAGTTTAAAAGTACCTAAATTAATGTAAATTAATGTAAATTAATGGTTCATAGCCAATCCAGATATTAATACAATAGAAAACATCTGGTTCATCAATAAATAATACAGAGATAACAAAGAAGAACAATATTTGTTTAAAGAAAATGTTAAGGAAACAATAATAATGGCTGAAATAATGTTCAATTCAAAATGATAGAAAAGCTAACCTAATCAATGAATTAAAGACTGGTGAAGGTTATAGAATGTTTGGGAACAGAATAATAAAATACTACTTTATCCAGGTATATGGGATAGTCCTCTACCTCTAGTGGCTTGCTGGTCTTGTACAAGATGAACATCATTGTAAAAAACAAAAAAAAAAGAACAAGCAAATGGGATATTGTTTTCATTGGACATATTTCTACAACCTATCTATTTGAATTTTTTTTTAATCATTTCACCCATGCAGGGCAGTAAAGCCATCAAGACACAAGGGGTTACTGAGTGTGAATGAATAGGAAAAAAGAGAAACATTATCAAGAACAATAAAAGAGTAATCAAGAAGACAATATATATTGTTTGATATTGCATTTAAATTTTTGGATATCAAAGGTGACTGGAACACATGTTGCTGGAAGAGAGCAAGCAAGAAGTGTGTGAAAAGAAACTGTTAGCATAGAACTTACAGTTACATCTGGCCAATTCAGCTGTAAAGTGATGAAAACATTTGCCAATCTAGAACAGTGCTTAAATTCATAAAGTCTGAATACCATAGCAGAGAGTTCATCTGAACAATTACCATTGTAAAAGTATTTACAGAAAAGGCACAGAGAAGTTATTTTATGTCAGTGAATGAATCTGAGGTTTGAATCAATAATATTGCTGATTTTTGGGAATTTATCAAGAATCTCTAAATATATATCACTGATGAGCTGTGATACACCAAAACACTCTGTCTGTTGATGGCATATATATATATATATATATATATATATATATATATATATAGTTTTAAGGTGTGCTATATTTATGGAGTAAAGTGCTCAATATAAGGTATAGAGCGTATGTAAATATAAAAGTGAACATTGAAGTCAACACTCAAAGATGACAGCCTAACAATTGCATCTAGCATGAAACAGCCTGTCGCTTCTGAGTGTTGACTTCAATGTTCACTTCATATATATATTCAAAGCATGGGCAAATGGCAGACTTATAAATATGTAAGAACTTAAGTTCTAGGTTGCATGATAAACTTGACCCACTCAAAGCAAGATACTATCAAAAATTTTTTAATAAGGATAAATCTTATAAGGTGAAAGTAATGTTATATTGCTCATATAAGCATATCCTTGCAACCCCACCATTTTTTTTTAACCATTTGTAGTATTTTTTACAGGGTTTTATTTTAACGAAATACAATAAAGACAAAAATAACTATCAAAATAAGAAAGAATATAACTTTCAAAAAATCCTGATGAAAGAATTCTTCTTTAAAAGTGTATGATGATGGTCATTTCCCTTTATTTCATTTTCATTTTGAATTGTCGTGAGTTCAAATAAAATATAAAAATAAAAATGTACAAACAAATAAAAAAGAATTCAAATTAAAACAAAACATTTACTTTTCCTTAAAATCCGTATCTCTTTTTCTATTTTTCACTCACTTTCTCTCAATAAATTTCTCTCTCAAATAAAAAGAGGAAGAGGATGAAAAGACTAACCCCAGCTGAAAAACACAGGATATTGATGGTCCAGAAGCTAAATATTTTTTTGCGGGGCCCCCACCAAAACATTTGTCTCTGCTTCGGCTCTGTATGCTTAACGATCCTTATATAAATATGCTTGCATTCCCATAATTGCACATGACTCTGAATTTAATTTTATATATATATATATATATATATATATATATGCATTCATACCTTTCTACCTGAAAATAAATTTATATTCTCCTACTTGCTTGCAAGAAAGATGCATCTAGTTGTGCTTTTTTTTGACAGTGAAGTTTGCACTGTACAAAGCCCGAGAGCTACTCAAGGTAGAGGATTACGCAGTAAGAGGTACAGTTTATGTGTATATATGTGGAAGATAACAGTTAAACCTAGACCTGAACAAATTAAGATTGTCGTGATCAAGAAAGCATCCTCTTGGGAGTAGGTTCCACAGAGCAGTGGTTTGTGGGTAGAAGTTGCTTGAGTGAAACTTACTTCTCACTGATGGAATGTGAAAGAAATGTGAGTGGTTTGCTACAATGTGCATAGCATGGTGGGTCTTAGCCATAAAGGTTAGAACTGGTAGACCTAAAGAATGTAGTTTGAGTATATGGAAAGAGCAATAGAGCAGTGTGGGGCTTCACTTTCTCTTGATAGTGGTTCGATTTTATTTTCTTTATGATGTGCTTGACTTAAGTCTGAACTTCATTTTATTG